GTCCTGTTTTCATATTTAGTTGTATACATAATAAAGCTTTGTCAATCAGTTACAAGTCTTTGTGCTTCAAACCTTGTGCCAATTCCAATTTATTAGTCTTCTTCTTCCTCTTTTTTTTTTTTTTGACATATACTATTTTATTGGACCAATTTGTCAGAGAAGCAAGCACCCTCTAAGTTCTTCTACTATCTCATTACTACGAGCCTTGTTAACAAAAGAGAACTCGATAGAGGTTTGAGCTGTAAGTTAGTATTACTTCCCGTGAAAAGATTGAGCAGCACCAGTCTGGACATTTAGAGATGTTTTGACTCCAACGCATAACTTCTTTCTAGGAGGACTAGATGCTTACTTTTTATAAATGAAAACCCAGAGCCTGAAGCATCTGCTGGGGGCACAATTGGAGACCTTTATGACGCGGGTGGCGCTGTGGTCTAAACCACTGAGCCTTGGGCTTGCCGATCAGAAGGTCAGCGGTTCGAATCCCCGTGATGGGGTGAACTTCCATTGCTCAGTCCCAGCTCCTGCCCACCGAGCAGTTAGAAAGCATGTCAAAGTGCAAGTAGATAAATAGGCGTCCGCTCTGGCCGGAAGGTAAACGGTGTTTCCATGCGCTGCTCTGGTGTTGGTGTTCCGTTGTGCCAGAAGCGGCTTAGTCATGTTGGCCACATGACCCGGAAAAACTGTCCGCAGACAAACATCGGCTCCCTTGGCCTGTAAAGCGAGATGAGTGCCGCAACCCCAGAGTCGTTCGCAACTGGACTTAACTGTCAGGGGTCCCTTTAACCTTTACCCTTTATGGACAACATGGTACTCACAGGCACCAGGATGGCAACTTCAGAGCCAAACAGTGGAGGCAATGGCCTAGATCAGGGACCCTCTGCATGTTGTTGAACTCCAACTTCCATCAGCCCCAGCTGGTGGACCAACATCTGGGAAGCTGACAAGGTGCCGATTCCTGGCCTAGGCTGTCTCTTTGGTGGCCCCTCTCAGCTGGAGGAGTACCCTCCTGCCAAAGCTTTTGTGGACGCCCCCCCCCCAATCCTCTTTTCCCATGATATGAGGCTTAAAAAAAAAAAGCACTGAAAGAAGCTAACCCACTTGTCAAATTTGTAAAAGAAAGGGAAGATCTGCATTTTACACAGCACAGCTATGAATTTCTATCTGCTCCAGACTTCGACTTTGGAATAATAATGTGCTGAGACTGTATCAGATGAAGAACAGGAAACACACCCCTGAAGGGTCTGTCCTCCACCCCTAATATTAAAACTACCATGCAAGTAAAATACTAGCACATTTAGTATTGCTATAGCCTTCTTGCAGGTGGGTTGGTCGTTTTCTATTCACAAGCCAATTTTCACACTGTTCACACAGTCTGAATTGGTCCAGGTGCTGGAGGTCAATAGTATATTGCAATTCTGAATGTGTAGATCAGCTGACTTTAGACCTGAGAATGCACCGTGCCTGCCATGAAGATGCTGCCGCAAACAGTCCCTTCATGGCCACTAATCCACCATCCCACCATAACAGGAGGAATCACACTGTGATAAAGGCACCAGATCTTCAGTATGACAGCCGAGCCTTAGCCTGAAATTACCACGATGGAGGAGTTCTCTCATCTGGGTGTATTCTAGTTATTCCTCGTTCTTCAAGCCCCTCTGGCACATCTCCTTTCTCCTGTTGTCCTATTGCCCCTTGTCCTATGACCAGTTTCTTCATTTTGTCCATCCTCCAGATCTGCAAGCGGTGATAAGTTTCAAAGCCTGCATTATCAGGTTTCATTTCCTTTGGACGAGGGCACACTTGAGCCATGCAGCACATACTCACTGCAGTATGTGCTTGGTTAACAAATATCCCAGCAAAGGAAGCAAAAAAGCACACCTTCATCAAGCTATACCTGAGCACTAGGTCTTTTGCACCGGCCCCAGATCTCCCATCCCTTCTAATTTTTTTAATCATACTTTGTTTACAGGACAGCTTTCTCTCTGAAAATTTGCCTGAATTTACAACTTATGCAGGGTTCCCCCCCCCCCAAAAAAAATATTTGTGTCATGGATCTGTGCCCTGAGTCTTGTAAGAACCTAGCCATACTATTGGACTACACTTCACTGCAGCCGTAAACCCTGAGGCTGCATATACAACATACATTAAAAGCACATCTCTTCTAAAGAATCCTCAAAATTAGTTTGTTAGGATGCTGGGAACTGCAGCTTTGTGAGGGGACGACTACAGGATTATCGGGGGGGGGGGGAGTCATGTGCTCTAAATGCATGGTATGTGTATAGCCTTAGTGCACGCTCTCTCTCTCCCTCTCTCTCTCTCTCCCTCCCTCCCTCCTTCTCACAACTCCTCTTTGCCATTTCTCTCTAGCTTCCTCCTCTCAGCTGGAGGAGTGTTATCCTTTCAAGGCTCTGAAGGGTCTCTCATTCCAAACACTTGAGAGAGAGATTCCCCACTTATCAAGGGGCAACCTCCTTCTCATTATCTCCCACTGGCGAAACATCAATCAATACCCCCTGGGCCGGTTGCCAGCAAAGGAATGGTAAGGCAGCAGCCATAATACTCTGTGCAAAACAAACCTTCCAAAACTGAACTCTTCGCCAAGAAAAACACAGATCCCACAATCCCAATAAATGGTGCACACTTGCAAAGATACGCACTATTCTCCAGCTTTCTTCAGAGCCCCCTGTGTGTGAGGTTTTGCACAATTTGGACTGCACATCTTCCATAACTGCAAGGAACCCAAATTCGGGTTTTGGGGTACAGGGCTGCACATTGAATTTTACATGCATGGAATGAACAAATATGACTAGCCCTGTGTATAAAAAGTAGATCAGTATTAGAACTGAAGAGTATGAGTCCAAATCTCTCCGCAGCCATGATGCTCAGTATGTGACCTTGGGCAGTTTAATACAATTCAGTCCTGCCAGATTTAAAGTGTTGAAAGGACAAAATGGGACCATCCCTTCCAGGGATGCCAAATTAGATAAAATATTGGGGGAGCTTGTGTAAGCACCATCACACATAGACATATGGAAACCATTTGAATGGCAGTGCCCATCAACTTTAGGAGGCCCTGACCCCCTCAAATATTTTAGGGGCCCCTACAAAAGGATCCCAGCCCCTAGGAGTTTGCCCCTATGATCCCTTCTTAACTAGGGTTGCCATATTTCAAAGTGAAGATCCAGACAGCAAAGTTGAGCTTTTCTCTTTTTTTTTCTTTTTTTTTGGGCCAAAGTTGTTGAGCTTTTAAAGCTATTTTTATTGGGGGGGGGGAGCACTGTTGACAGTCCAATACAAAATGTGGTAATTGTCACTCGCTGGAGCAGAAGTTTATTTGCAAATGCAGTTTACTAAAATGCAAAGGCCTTGTACTCTCTTCCTGATAAGAGATCAGGAACAGAAACAGCTGTTCAGTGAACTTTGAAAACACGTGACTTTTTGTTTGTTTCAACAATGCTTCAATATGGCAACACCCCATGCTATGTGAGGGCCTCACCTGAGGAAGAGCTGATGAGAGAAATATTGCAACAAGGAGCTGGTACAAACACAGCTCCAGGCTGTTAACAAACAAACATCATCATCCACACACCCAGCTGTGAGCATGTGCAACAGCTCTTTAGACCTTGGCTAATGGCATGTCCCACCAGCTGCATTCATAAAACAGGCGATTTGAGCAGCATTCTCATAACCCACTTACCTAAGAATAAACCCCCTTAAACGCAGTGGGACTTGCTTCTCAGTAGACAAGGACAGGATCACAATGTGTGTTACTATTGATTCATGAAAGACCTTTTACTTGTATCTCAAGGGGATTTACAAACAAGCCATTTGAACAGCTAAAAGTAGTTTTTAAAAAGGTACAACACAACTGAAGATATGTAGGTTTCAAAAAAATAATAATACAAAGTGAACCCCTTGTCATCTAGCCGAAAAAGCTTGCTGAAATAAAAATACCCATGTGTCTGGAAAGTGCAAATAATGAAGTGTAACCTTTTCATGCAAACAAGTTCCTAAATTCTCTCTTCTGAAATAAGTTCTGAATCCAACCAACCCACAAATTATTCACTCAGTGGGATCTGGGATTATGCTTGCGTGAGTAGCCAAGTCAGAAGCCTTTCCTTTACTAGCATTAGACTTCACACATTACATGAGTGGCATGTGAGGAGACCACACTACAGTAGCATTGATGCCAACTGGGTAACATCAGAAGAGGGCATTGGCAGAGCATGCAGAACTGGAACAATGAGCACACCAGTGCTATGCCTGCAGATGGTGAAAAAGAAACTAGGCCTCACAACCTTCCTTCAGGGCTGCAGCTCACAAAATGTCAGCTTCATGCCTCCAGATTGAGCATAACCAACCCCATCTAGAGAAGCAGTTCTGGCAATCTCTTACCACCATTTAAAGCACAAATTGGCAAACTACGGCCCCCGGGCCGGATCAGACCCACCTGGGTCCTAAATCTGGCCTGTGCCATGAAGCCAGAACCCGCCACGAAGCCGAGACTCCCGACGATGGCGACAGGAGGAAGAGGCCGAGCGACGGCGGCTCTGCCACTCAAACGCCACACCTGGTTTACCTCAGCGGCGTTTGATTGGCAGAGACGTCCCTGCGCTGTGCTGAGGTAAACCAGGTGCAGCGTTTGATTGGTAGAGCCGTCGCCACTCAGCCTCTTCCTCCTGTTGCCGCTCGGCCTCTTCCTCCCGTCCCCATCCCCACCCTGGTGCTCCTGTGGGCCAGAGAGCGGAGCGGACAAGCTCGCTCTGCCTACCCATGAGAAGCAGCAGCGGCAGCCCCTGGGAAGGTAAGCACAGCGGCTGGGGGGGAGGGGAGGACTACTTGCCCCCCCTCTTCTTCCAGCTCCCCCCCCCCCCCCGGTGCTGGTTCTCCGGCCCACCACAAGGTCTGAGGGACAGTGGACCGGCCCGCTGCTAAAAAAATTTACCAACCCCTGATTTAAAGAGTTGCACTTGCCAGGAAATTACATTTTTTTTTGTCTTGTCTTGCAGTTCAGGTACGTAATTGTGAAATAAGGAACAATGTAACTCCCCCAACAATGCAGAACATGAGACCATGGCCTTTTCACAGCTTCCCTTTCCCCATCATGGGGGCCAACAATCTCCAAGATTCCCACATTCTCTCATTCTGCCAAGGGTGGGATGAAATCTTATCTGCTCCCAATTATTCTGAAATCCAGAGAGGATTTTTTTTTTTTTTTGCATGTTGCCATCTTGATAGTGACGCCTCTTTCAAGTTCTGCAAGTCAGATGACCAGTTCTTGGATTACAACATCCAAGCAAGTGTCCTGTGGGGTTATGTTTTGAGCAAACATCCCTGAAACGTTTGGCATGGCCACCTGAACAGAGTTTGTAAAGACCCTCAGTTGTCTGCGCCCTTTTAGCAGAGTTCAGCTGTCTTGACTTCCACAGTGCCTTTTGAGCTCAGGGTGCAGGACTAGATGGGTCGCTGGCCTGATTCAGCAGGCTCTCCTTATGTTCTTCCCTTGGTGTTTAGGGATAAAACAGCAGCAGAGGCTATGCACCTCTTTATAAGAAACAATGCCAGTAGAAAATGGAAAAACAGCAGAACACCATTCACCTTAAGTTATTCAACTTGCCCATGAAAACAAGGAAGGCAAAATAATACTTAGAGTGGGGTAAGTAGAAACGAAGTGCTAAAAACAGCAATAGAAAAAGAACACTTTATTGCTTACAGGTGCCTAAACGCAGCTAAACACCACTTCTTTAATCATGGTTTCTTTAGTGTTGGAGAGACAGCAGGTGCCACAATGGTCAGAACCCCATCGAATGCTATATAACTTTTAGGGCACACCAGCACAGTCAGTTTAAACTCGATAGCTCCACTGGCACAGAGTCTCAGTCCTGAAAACCTCTTGTATCTTTCTACTTTCTTCATAAGCCTATTCCTGTAACTCTTGCAAACTTTTGGAGTGATTTACTTATCTTGCTTTTCTTTGTGACTCTCCAGAGTATTTGTTTCCTGAAATCCCAAGGTATCTGGAAGGCACTCCTGATCATCCATCTTGGTTCTGAGGCTTCTAGCATCAATATATCAACGTGTTCTCTCTTTCTCTCTCTCTGTTTTCTTCCTTGTTATCCCCTCCTCACAATGCTACTTCTGTCCCTAGGGCTCAGGTAAATGGCAATCTAGCTTCTGTGAAGGAGCCGTTGTCGAACATTCCTTATCTGAGTCACTGAAATGTTTGTGAATATCCTTCCACCATCACCCCAGCTCAGTGAACAGAGGTTACAAACGTCACTGTTACGTGCAGCGCAATACAGATATTTCCCCCACCTCCAGCATTGGAGAGTTGTAAAAATAAAGAAGGGAAGGTGTTTCAGCCACGTTTACATGGACCCAATTGAGTGCACTCATCTAAAGGAATTAAAATGGTTGACCGCACAACCATCTCTCTCAGTAGGCAAGGTGAAGAACATGGAACAACAGCAACAACACATTTCAAATTAACTCCACCCTTCAATAAGGGTATGGCCATTTTCAGCTCTGTAACAGGAACTTTTCTTCAGAATGAACTGCATTTTCGAAGCCAAATAAAAAACTAACCACTTTTTTGCCTTCTAGCTTTCTCTGGCGTAAACTTGGGATTCCACTAGTTTGCAGCTTTCCTGTCTCAACATCCCAGCCAGCTCTGGTAGCTGCAGCCAATTAATACTTCCTAAATGCTACCGGTTGTGTGGCACACAAATGTGTATTACACAGGGAATTTCATAGTACTTTAGTGAAATCTGTCACATTACACGCTTCAGATATTTGTGACTCACCTGCCTGCAGGAGGAAATGAAGGCCAAGCAAGCACAGCGCTTGCAGAATGATCAGGATTTTCCGTTCCCTGGCTATGCTGACCGGATCATTTTGTTAAGCATCTCTCGGGAGTGTTTTCATTTTCAGGAAATCTATGGGGATGTTTCTTCAAAATATAGTTGGGGGCTGCATTTATAATCCTCTGAATGAATAGACGAGCAAGTTGTTCACAGCAAGAAGCTAAACTGAAAATCTATTGTGACTCTGTGGGTCACAGCTCATCCACACAATTTTCGATACCTAACTTTAATGCACATATAGGCGACCTGTAAATATCAACAGATAATCAAAATCACCAAGTTCATCCAAAATGTAGTTGCTCATTTTTGAAGGGATTGTAGGACTAGTTAGAATTGTTCCATTTAGAAGAATTTATGGGGCAGTAATTTTAGAAAACTGGCTATTTTAGTGCCCTACCCAAAAAATATGTCTGTAGGGTTGGAAAGGCAAAACACTGCACATACACACTGTATGAATTCGCAGAGAATAACTGGTCTTGTGACCCTCTTCACTATTAGCTTGGAGAGCAATTCCAAAGCCTGCAGTTTCTACAGGAACCAGTCTCCCACTAAGAAGCTAGACTGGGAGTGGGGAACCTGTGGCTCTCTGAATGTGGCTGGACCCAACTCCCATCAGTCCCAGTCAGCAAGGTGAACTGTGAGGGATGATGGGAATTGTAACATCTGGAGGGCCATAGGTTTCCTATCCCTTTCTAGGCAGTCCATGGGACACACAAATAGGGACTCACACACAAATAGGGACTCACATTGCCCCGCCCTGGGAGCAATAACTTTCACCTAGAAGTCACTTCGCCTGCTGTTACTTCCCAGCTAAAAATATATATAACTAAGTTAGGTGGGAGTATAAAGCGAGATGAGCGCCACAACCCCAGAGTCGGCCACGACTGGACCTAATGGTCAGGGGTTCCTTTACCTTTTTACCATGTGTGCAACAAAAGTTTGCGAGAACCTGAACATTTCGGTAGTAAAAGTATGATCTCAAGAAAAAAACGTATTGCTAAGATCTTGCTCATTTAATACAAATTGTTCCCTTTCTTGCCTGTCAACTGTGTAAGGCGTGTTCCAGGATGTGTCTAACATGTGCTTTGGGCTCCCTAGAGGAAAAGCTAGCTCCTTATTCTTGGCACAAATTTTGACAAGCTTCCAACTGAGATTAAAGCGTGTAATGGCTTACACTGCTCCTTTAGCACTGCCTCTACAGCTCTTTGAAGCAATTTCTATGTACGCTGGTTCTCACCCACTGGAGGATCTTGAGTTAATATTTTTATGGATGTTATCAGCTGAAGCTTTATAACAGATTGTGAACTTTTTGACAAGTATTATAAACTGTCCTTTCCTATAAATGAGGCAAAGACTAACTAGTTAACATTGCCTCCTTGCTCCTGACTCAAAGTCACACTTGCTACCCAGCTCTTGCTACTTTTTAAGAAAAGGCTGTTCATAAAAACTTCACCCCGTCGTAATGATTAAAATCTGCCTGGGTTATGTAGCCTGTGAGAGCAGCCCTGGTTCTGTGGCTTTTCTCAATTTAAAAAAAAGCAGGTTCAGGTTGGATTCAGACAACCATGTTACCCAACAGTAATTTACATGTAACTACTTGATACTGGTTACCTTAGCCCAGGCATAGGCAAACTCGGCCCTCCAGATGCTTTGGGACTACAACTCCCATGATCCCTAGAGAACAGGACCAGTGGTCAAGGATGATGGGATTTGTAGTCTCAAAACATCTGGAGGGCAGAGTTTGCCTATGCCTGCCTTAGCCCACATAGAAAGACCAAACTATGGGTGATTTCTCTTCAATAGGAGTAAGTTCTTCAATGGGATAGCTCAGTCAGGAGAGTATGAGAATCCTTAATCTCAGTGCTGTGGGTTCGAGCCCCACGTTGGGCAAAAGATTGCTGCACTGCAGGGAGTTGGGCTAGATGGCTCTGGTAATCTCTTCCAGCTCTACAATTCTATAATAAAATTATTATTATTATTAATAATAATAATAATAATAATAATAATAATAATTTATTATTCATACCCTGCCCATCTGGCTGGGTCCCCACAGCCACTCTGGGCTACTTCCAACAAAACACTAAAATACAATAACCTATTAAACATTAAAAGCTTCCCTAAACAGGGCTGTCTTTCGATGTCTTCTAAAAGTTTGGTAGTTATTTTTCTCTTTGACATCTGGTGGGAGGGCGTTCCACTACCGAGAAGGTCCTTTGTCTGGTTCCTTGTAGCTTCACTTCTCACAGTGAGGGAACCGCCAGAAGGCCCTTGGCGCTGGTCCGGGCAGAATGATGGAGGTGGAGACGCTCCTTCAGGTATACTGGACCGAGGCTGTTTAGGGCTTTAAAGGTCAGCACCAACACTTTGAATTGTGCTCGGAAAGTGTATCTATGATACACTTGTATAGGATTGTGCTGCTGCTCAGTTTCATAAACTTGCCACATGGCATAGAGAGTTGTATCGCATGCCAGATGCAGATATGTCGTATAATAGTACTCTATACCCACACTCAAACTCTGGTTGCTGAAAAGATAACACGACTCTACTACTGAACAATGGAGACATAGCAATTCCCTTTCAACAGAAAGGTTGAATTGCCACCTTTGATAGGTACTAATGGGCAGGAAAAAATTGCCTAACCAATATGTGGCTTTGCTCTTCCAGTCACAAGTGTTTAAAGCTAGCTTTTACTGCTGCTGTTTAAACCTGTTTCCACTACTGAAAGAGCCAGAAAAGCACAAAGAATTTAAAACACAAAATCAAAAACTGATGTACTACATGGCCACAAAGCAGTATTTCAGAGAACGAAACTGTCAGTATATCACGATGCCACCTTAAAACGTTTCAAATGATCAGCTATCTTAACTGTCTCAAGGTCTTTGGGATTCTGAGTACAGACTGTCACTTGTAGGATTAAGTACAGGAAACAAAGACACCTGGTTTGGACATCAGGCTAAGCTAAACCAAGGCTTAGGACAAACATGTGAGCTCACAGGACAGAGAACACAACCATTTTGCTTCTCTTCTCCTGGGTCAATTTGCTATTGCATCATACTAAGCCACACTTGGCTTAGCACATAGACTGAACCGGGGCTCATGGTTTAGCTCTTTCCAGACTAAGAATGAGCCCAAAACCAACATAATCCTTCATCACAACTTGTGGTAAGTCTGGAGAGCGCAAAACCATGAGCCTTGGTTGGCATAACAGCCATCATCCAGCAAACTAAGCCAAGCTGTGGCTTAATTCAGTCCAGTGCAAGAAACCTTTTACATACTAGTAGTTCACAAGCTTATGTGTTCACACTAAAACATAGTTTCACTAAGCTTGACACACGATCCAATCTAACAAGATTAGCTCTCTACACAGATTTGCTTAATTGAAATATCAATAAATATACACTTTTTCTTGCAAACAAAGTAAATTAAGCAATACCAAAATCAAACATGCTAGCACAGCAAACTGACTAGCCCTTTCCTCAACACCAAAGAATAGAAATTCAGGTTTAATTAAATGTTACTATTTTATTTGTGAAAAAACTACAAGCAGAATTCATAAATAGACATTTCTATTTAAAGCAGGAAAATGATAAAGTGGCTTCTAATAACAGTCGTGCACATGCCGGTAACAGGAATATATTAACATCTTTTATTTGCTAGACAAAGAGCAGTGTCCAATATAAATTTTCCGAAAACATTTAAGACCTGTGAATTTTTCTGACCAGTTCACAAAACCACCATTGACACTTTTAGCATGAAGATTAAACAAACTTAACAGGACTGTCAGCTCTAAAGACTTTACAGAGCAGAAAACTTTCAAAAGCGTTATACAAGCTGTCTTTCTGGGCAAATGAAAAATATAGCTCGTATAATACATTAACGTAAAAATCCACAAGATAAAATTATGTCTTGACATACTTAAACAAGCATTCTCTATTTGTCTCCAAACAAACAAAGCTAAAGAAATAATGTAACCATCTTTACACAGTAAATTAAGGTTACAAGTCATACACAAGAACAGAACTGCTTGCGCATTAAAAACTGTTCAGCTCCATTGTCATATTCTAAATGTTGGCTCTTAAAACCATTTTTTTTCGGTTACATACAAGCAAAGGTTATTATAGTCAGCAAGTAATAAATTTTCAATAATTTACGTTTACGGTTCTTGTCGTTTTTAAAAAAGTAGACTGAAAATGGTACTGATAAGGCAGATGGAAGTGTCTCAATGAGTACAACTACTGCCCAATTTTTAAATCTAACTGATTTTTAACAAGCAAAAGATTTTCAATCAAAACTGCCTATCCAATTGGTTTTCTTCTTATTCTTATTGTTCCCTTTGCATGACTATTTCAAACTGAGCAAGTCAAGCAAACTGTTGTGCGTATGGTGTGCACGTACGTGTGTGTGTGTGTGTGTGTTTGTCTGTGTGTGTATATATAAAGTGTAAAAATTGAAACTTGCAAATGTTAACACTGTGCTTTGTCCTCGCCTGCTTTCTGTGCCACTTGCTACGAAGCATTTCTGGCCCGTCTTCTACACTAGTATTTTAAAAACATGCTCTCAAAACTACTGTATGGCTAACTGAAATGCAGAAAAGTGAAGGAAATTCCATTTTTAAACATGCTTTTCTTTAAAAGAAAAGGGAGGGGTTGTTGTTATCGATTGCAGAGTTCGCAACGCAACAGCTAAAAATGCGGCCCAAAAGAAGTTTGAATGCTTAGCTGACAATTTCAGCCAAATGCAGTTCAGTCACACCACTTGTGCCAAAGACAGATTTGCATACTTTATTCTAACAGGCTAATATGCCAGAGGCACACATATATATATATTTTTTTTAAAAGGGAGAAAACTAAAGAAAACCCAAAGAGGATTTCATTGAATTGGTAAGCCAGTGAGCAGTTTGTTACTGTTAAAGCTTTTGTTACCTAACCTAAAGGGCATATTCCACCAGGCAGAACCCGCCAACCCCTGCTGCTATGCACTATTTGAATGACGGCCCACAAAAAGCCGCACTAAAATGACTGGAGCAGCAGCGCTTGGTGGGTGGTGCTCACCATATTGAGCAATTTTATTCAACACACACAGTTTTTTTCCTACTCCAAAGGCCTTATTCTAGGAAGCCACTGAAGATGCACTCCTATTGCCCATGCCCGTAGATCAGGTTTTTGCTGGGAAGGGGCCAAATGCATATAGGCCTAATTCTTTCTGGTTCATTCATTTAAAAAAAGCTGTGCAAAATACACACATCTGGGACTTAAGTTCAAAACATCTCTTTAAAAATTATTTTTTTTCTCTCTCCAAAAATAAATTATGGCTGACCAATTTACCTCCCTGAGATCCTTTAAAGGAATAGGAAAACTTGGAAAAGGAATGTCTTTACAATATCATACCAATGCTAAAAAATGTGGATTGATGTGGACTATTAAAAACTACACCTATTGTATTTCAGAGCTTACGAGAATCATCTGGTTTTCCTTTGGTTCTTGTTTCTTTTTTTCTTTTTAATAAATACTTTTAAGAATAAGAGTTCAAAAAAGAATAATTCGATATATGAACAGTGAGAAACCCACCATGTTCAGAATTGAACTGCAGCTGCCAAGGCACTGCTCTGCTAATCTTACCTCTTTGAGCAGAGCGGCTTTTATTCAGTTAAGCATAGGTTAAAATTTAAGATTGATATGAGAGGAGCTTGTGTTTGTTGCTACTTAAAACTAATCTGATAAAAATGCAACTCTATACAACAGAAATAATTTATATATTTCAAGCAAGAAATTAGTACAGTAATTTTTCTAGCACCGAGTTCTGCCAAGTGGTCCACCGGGTATCCATTTTGATAATTGGGAAAGGGGCTACTGAAATTACAGCAAAGCACTCTGGGTCGCCTAAAAAAGCACACACACAATGAATTTTCTAAAACAGTGTTCCATCACTTCATTCTAGTGTTTTAAGTAGGGTAACATGTGAGCTAGGAAAAAACTGCGACACAACTTGAAACTGGAAAGCAGCTTACACTCAGAAAAACCTTTCTAGAAAGAATAAGAAGCTATTTGGCCATTCTGCTCCTAGCTTGCCGGTATGCAAGTTCTTCTCAACTTTAGCTCCCATAGCAGTTTATTTTTATCTAGACATGTCTAAACACCAATAAATCCAAAGACATCATCATTTGATGACGGACTGCTGTTGTTGTTGTTGTTTTTAAAAAAGAGATCTCTCAGGATACACAATGAATTAATTAGAAATGAAAGAGCAGAGTCAGACATAAAATATTTGCATTGAGAATAAGCTGAGTGGCCTAGTGGCCTAGTTATGATAGCAGGGGCAAGGGTGGCACCCTCAATATTAGGCTAGCAGATATCCTGCCCCGCAGATATTCAATGTTACCCACCATAACCGATACAGAGCTGGAAAATGGCTAGATAAAAAGTTGTGAAACAGTTAAAGTGAGATCAGTTATGCAAGAACTAGGCAACGTTAATGTGCAGCCATCATGTACATTAATACTAGGTATTCTGAAAACAGTGTAGACTGCAGTTTTTAAAATTTGTACACTACTGTAGGAAAAGGCTGGAATTTTATTGTTTTGTAGATATCCTACTGGGAATGCAAGTTACCTGGAGCACCTTTTGGATTTAAAAAAGGAACAGAAAATAAGAAAATAGACATCTATCTTTGTCCAGTACTCTTCAGCCAAAGCACAAGAAGAAAGCCAGGTCCTATCTCCATTTGAACCTCCAGGAACACTCTCGTTAATCTAAAACTGGTTCCGGTTTTGTTTAAGCACTTTCCAAAGGGCACTCACCGTCCCAGATCTTAAATTGTTTCACTTCACAGTGTTTCAAGCACCAGCGTTTCCATGTATTGGTTTCAAATAACCCTATATATATATTTTATTTATATATATATATTTATTTATATTTATATTTATATATAATTTATATCAAAACTGATAGTACACAGTATAACTGGAAGAATCGGGAGAATTGAACTCAACAGGATATGCTGGGGTGGGGGTGGGGGGAGAAGAATGAGAGGATGTAGTTTGTGAATACAATAAATAAAAATCCTCCGGCAGCCCTCCCTTCCCACCCGCATCATATCCCCTCACCCAAAACAAAACAAAACAAAACAAAACAAAAAGCTTCCAATATTCATGGGGCGGGGGGGGGGGGGACGGGGCGACTGTGCACAGCAGATTTATAAAAAAGTAGAGTCAGGAGCACATCCAATTATAAATGATTGTTAGGAAAATCATATAAAACAATGGAATACGTAAGTGTCAAAAAGTAATTGTCAGGGTGCGAAATTCGTCAGTGGCCAGATGCCCATGTAGCCTTCTCAAACGATCCTGGTGTCATCAGTTCAAGGGGACGATGTCCATAAAGTACGTTGAAGCACAGGAAGAGGAAGAGAAAAAGTGGCACTGGCAGCTTTCCCAGGACTACAGCCTAGTGGACAGATGGAATATTTGAATTTCATACCCTGATTTCATCGAGTTCCCCACAATTCTATGTGCAATTCTCAGAAGGATTCATCGTTGACCACGGACATGTCGCCCTTTGGCGTGGAGGAGCGGGACGAGCCCTTGTCTGTGCTCTCTGAGCCCGAGCTGCTCTGATTCTGCTGTTCTGATCCTGCACTGGAGGTCACTGTCGATGAAGATGTGGAGGAGGAGCGAGTCTTTTCTTTAAAGTCTGTGATAATTACTGTGACGTTTCCCACTGTGACTGCCAGCTGCTGGGCGGTACTTCTGTCCACATTTTTCAGTCTGGGCCTTAACAATAATAAAGAAGAATCATAAAAAAGAATACCAATTACAGACAACAGATGAGCCTTCTGTTAAAATGTGTTGTTGTTTTCTCGGCTAACTTACAAGGAACAGGTCAAAAGACAGCAGAGGTATCAGCCCACTGATGAATGGCTATGCATTAAACGAATCAACTGCTGCCCCTCCCCCCACTCAACACCTGACCTTTTGCTCTCTCTAAATGATGAGTCCAGAAAGGCTTCGCCAAAGCATGCTCAATCCCCAGTGAGCACACGTAGCTGGGGAATCAATTTTGGGAGCTTAGCCAGAAAGAACGGAAATATGACAAGAGCAATCTAGGTATCAAGAAAGCCTCAGGGTCCCTTCCGGAATACAAGGATTCTGTGCTTGGAATTCGTTATCTTGTCAAGTGCCCCAAAGCCGTGATTTTGCAATACAAAACCACAAGAAAGCACCTGCGAGTGGTGATGTCATTTGCAAAGGGGATCTCTGCCACTACAAACACCACAGGCACCAGCACAACTTGGCATTCCTTTCCACCTGCTGGGAATTTATACAGAGAAGCAACCCAAATAAGCCATGTAGAAAATTGCTCAATAGTCCCTTCTGAATATGCCTGGAGAAAACAAGGTTTGAAAAATTCACAGTCATTATGCAAATCGTTAGTTCTGTCCTGTCTAGAAATAGAAAGTTGCAGTTTATAGCTCATGAACCTCTTAAGAGAGTTCACGCTATCACGCAATCAACATGCCAACTCATAAGGCATCCGCTTATATTACATGTGGCTGCAGTGCATTCATCCTGTAACAACAACACAGTACAAAGAAGTGGATTCATTTGAAGGCAGTCCTGCGTTTGTAACTACTGTAATTAAGATCTTAAGAAACTGAGTGGCTGCTTTGCAGCAGCTAAAAAATGTACTCTATGGGGAGATTTGGGAGGAGTTCAAATCTTAAATAGCTGACTCAAGGTAAGAAGGGTTAATACAACTAGAACCAGTAGCAGTTTTAAAAGGAGTTATTTTTATAGGGATGCCAAATTTAGTCCAATGCAGACTCTTCTCCTAGTTTGGCGATTCTGCAACACCCAGACCTTAATTTAAATATATGACCACTTCAGCTAAAGATATGAGGTCAATCTCCTGCTGGGAAGTATGGGTTGTGGACAATAATCCTTAATCAATCTTTAATACATATACGAACACAGTCAGCACCACCAAATTTAATTCTTCAAATGAGGTTTTGTATACAACTAAGTTCTACTCAGAATAGACACTTTGAAATTAATTGATCTAAGCAATGGTCAGGAATTTCAATGGATCTACTCCAAGTAAGATTAATATTAGGTATAGCCCGCAGTTTTGAGTACCTTATCTAACCATGCCAGCAACAATAAGAATATTGACCCTGAACCTCCTTTCACCCTTATCAATTCTTAGTATTCCCCGTTCATATCTGTATTGGATTTGAAATTGTTTGTATATATGAAATTGCTCTAAAATTCTTTTTATTGTACTGCTAAATTGCTTTGAGATGCTTCATAGGAAGTGATTCAAAAATGAGTATCTTATTCTACAATAAAATTAATAATACAAAGAAGTCACTGAGATGAAGGGGAAAATATGTCTTCTTCAACTAAGCCTATCTCCTAGTGCCAAGGGAACAAAAAGATTGCTTTTTTGTGCCAAGGTAACTAAGCGGTCGCTTCCCCCTTCCTGAAATTCTCAACTCTACAGGAAACCATCTCCTAGACCCCCAGTCTCCAACAATAAAGCAAATGCATAGGGAAATAGTTCTGTCTCCTCTCCACTGGCCTGTTCTGGAGGTTCTTCTCACCTGCCCACCCCAAGCCAATGGGGTGCCGGGGGAAAGCCCTGCTGCTCAAGCTTCCACTGGTGGGACTCTGCTGGTTGCCAGGCAAACCAAAGCATCAAGCATAGGGCTTGCAAAGCCCCTTGCACAACATCTGCAAACCACCCAGAAATCAGCTAGTTGTTGGATGCTTGGGAAGTGCTGCAAAGGGGGCTTTACAGACGCTGCCAATTAGGAGTGTCTGCTAAGCCCCTTTTAGCCAAGACCCACTCTTACCTGCCACCTGTAGGTGGGTGTGGCTTGCCCCGAACAGCCTAGCAGGCAAAATGAGAAGGCCTGGCGAGCCAAATTTGGCTCGCAGGTAGGATGTTCCCCAACCTGCCGTGTAATTTCAGACAGGCTGGGATGCTTTAATAAAACAGAGAGCCACATCTCATCTTTCCACAGCCCATCTTTCCTAATTTCAATGTGCTTACGCTTGATGATGCACCACGTTGAGGAACACCCTCATGGCGCCCTACTTTTACTCATGCAGAGGAAAAGGAATTTCAAGTCAGGGTTTGAATGGCTCAAATCTAGGTTTAACATCTCTCAGTAATTTTGCTTGCTACCTACTTTAAGCACATAGGGTATTTAAAAGTCAAAGTTAAAAATATGCCATAAAGTAGTAGCCACAACCCAAACAAGGAAACAAAATATTGTGAAAAAAATGCAAATACTGTTTCTAGATGAGTAGAGCTTGAAGTACTTCAGGGAGTTACTCAGTTTTAAAAGGATTAAAAACAAAAGGAATATCTAGTGCTGCATAGCACTAAAAACATTTTCATCCTATTACTCTACAATTGCCAGCACAGTAAAGGTAAAGGTAAAGGGACCCCTGACCATTAGGTCCAGTCGTGACCAACTCTGGGGTTGCGGCGCTCATCTCGCTTTATTGGCCGAGGGAGCCGGCGTACAGCTTCTGGGTCATGTGGCCAGAATGACAAAGCCGCTTCTGGCGAACCAGAGCAGCACATGGAAACGCTGTTTACCTTCCCGCCAGAGTGGTACCCATTTATCTACTTGCACTTTGACGTGCTTTCGAACTGCTAGGTTGGCAGGAGCAGGGACAGAGCAACCGGAGCTCACCCCGTCGCAGAGATTCAAACCGCCGACCTTCTGATCGGCAAGCCCTAGGCTCTGTGGTTTAACCCACAGCGCCACCTGTGTCCCATCACCTGCGCCCCAGTAGCTTTCCATTAAAGCCAAACTTGCCGGTAGTTGCCCCTCCACCCAAAGAACCAATTAGAGAAAGGAAAACTCGGTTTACCAACTGAAATAAAGCTTTAAATGGTTCAAATCACATCAGCTAAGGTGCTACAACTGTCTGGAAGACAGTCTGTCTGAATGTTTTATAATGAAAGAAACAGCATTTAGATAGCATTAATGGTCATTTCACATGTTATCTTAACAAGGTAACTCATAAGTACTGTCAGAAAAAGAAGTTGCTATAGAATCTGGATTTGCTTCCTTGTTCTCTCTGGCAATGATTCCCCCACCCCACCCCCAACTCTCAACTGCATGCAAGAGCAATTAAAAGAAAACTAGACATTGTGGTAATTTTCTTATTTTTTTCTGGGAAAAGCAGGTATTATGCTAATGAATAAGTAAGTAGTGGGTTGGGGGGGCGGTTGGAAGGCAAAGGAAGGACTGAAAAAAGGATTGACAATCCGAGTCACCTGTGGCAGCTCTTTTAAGAAGGAATGGTGTTAAGCTTCCTATTTGTTTTACCACATGTACATTTTGTTCTAGGGTATTGACACCCAAGCCTCAAAGGAACTATCCTTTCTTTCCCATTTTGATGAGAGGCCTATTGATGGGCAATGGAATCAGACCTCGCAAAGGAGGCTGCGGACTCTACTGTGGGGGTGATCTTGTGAAAGGGAAACTGCAATTACCACTATATAGGTTTTAACCTGCCCGACAGCCTGCAGGTCCCGGCACACACAAGTTATAGAAATACCAAACATTCAGTGTCCACAATCTAGTATACAGTATCTGAATTGGTGAGCTGAAATTATCCCTAATTATAACACCACAACTACCAGAAAATGGCAGTGCAAAGTAATAATAATAATTTGAGGCACAACCCCTTGTCACACTCCATTCCCTGAACCCAATGATTCAAGGACGTAAGCTAATGCATGGGTTGCAAGGAAAAATTACCACCCCGCTCCCCGTTCAGTAGCATGGAACCTAAATATTTTCCCACTCCAAATAGAAGTGCTAATTCAGCAAGCCTATAATCACGCAGTTCTTTACTTTAAAACAGTTACCTTGAGGTATGATTTGAGTCACTGGTCTTTGTTGTCATATTCCCAGACTGTATGCTGTTTGCTTCGCTTGGGGGATCTTTCACAATATCGGACTTTGGCCTGAAAGAAGGAGACAAGAAGAAATGCTAAAGGGCTTTCTACTGTAAAAATATCAACTCTGAAACTTTGACAACTTGTGCCAGAGTGTGCCTTCACACACCCAGCCACGATGCAATGAACGCATGCAACCCTCCCACTAGTCAATAAAGCTACAGTTACAAAAGATAATAATATACTTTCCTCTCCACCCACCCTGGAAAAGGACAAAATATGTCAAGTGAATCAAGAGATTGTGGTGACACGGGCAAGGGAAGGATGACTGAATAAAATCATCTGAGCGTCAGTGGAAATGTGCCTGGAAATTAAAGGTATTCTGGATCTGAGTGATATTTCAAGGCTGAGAGAACAAAAGTGTACATTTCTAGGAACTAAGCATAACATATTTGATGAGATCATTTGCATGAGGATACAGAGGGGGGAAAGGAAGGTCCAGAAACATACTTGGTCTTCTTGCTGGTACTCTTCTTTATAACACTTTGACTAATTTCTTTTTCTTTGTCTGGTTTTTTCTCTTCCTGCTTTTCCACCTTCTCTTTCTTCTCCTTTTTAGGAGGCGGTGGTGTAGCATATTGCTGAGCAACTTGTTGTGCAACAAGCTGAGAATTTATCCTAGGTTTCCTAAGAGGTGAGATGGGGAGAAAAAAGTCAGTGACTTTATTTATAAAACGGGTGTGTGCGACTGTAACCAAACATCAATAGAACAAACATATCAAAACAAGCAGTATTTCTAAGTGGTACATTCACATGTTAAAGGTATGGTTCATGGTACTTAAGAACTGTCTGAATATTCCCTGTATATAAAATTGAGGATCCTTGTCATCATTGATTTTAGTGAAAATCCCTCTACAGATCTTAACAGAATATAAATGAATGAAACCCTGCCCTTTATGTGCCCAAACAGAAGCAGCCCTGGAACTTGAACCTGCCACACTGTATTCCTTCTTTAGGAAATTTCTAGCCATCATGGTTTCTGAAAAACTGCCACTTCAGAAGTTTGGGGATGAAGATGTGCCACACTGATTACCGAAGGCCAAGAAATCACACTCATTCAGTCTACACTTTGAAGTGCTATGCCAACAGACAGCTTTCAGACTGCTTGTATTGTTTCATTAAATGGACACTAGCAAATTGTTAAACATATAAAGCAGAGTTAGTAATGTCTCATTCAACTGTAATTATTCAGAATAAATCCTTCTTCCCTAAAGCTACAAGCCTGACAACTACAACACAGCGATTGTCAATCAGAGCAAATCTAAAACAAATGGTACATTGAGTGTGCCATTAACAGTCTTGTCTCTGCCAGCCTCCAACTGGCACTGTGTCTTAACACTATTTCCTGCAAACTTCCATGATCATTATAACATATTGACATATAAACCTGCATGGCCAACAAGAAAGCAACAAATATGAAAGGCATTTTTTAGCAAGTTCTGCACATAAAAGATGTACTGAAGTTGATAGGAGCCTGTTGTTGTACTGACTAATAAGTAGCTGCTGTAATAACAGCTAGCAATCTTTCAGTCTATAGATCCAACACATTTTCAAGCCAAAGTACTTGGAGGTGATGGTGTGGTTTTTTATTTGCAACCACAGGCATCTACAGACTCCAGTAGGTAAAGCAGTGTGAGATATCATTCTGGCAGTGTGCATTCAGAGAATGGAAATTGATCTGGTGAATGGCATACAACTTTGCCTTTGTATGTATATGTAAAAAAAAAAGAATGGGTTAAAATCCACCTCAGATGCACTTTTCATTGCAGGATTTACATAGAAATAGGTATTCTTCCTCATTGATAACACAATGTGGTTAAAAATATATATATGATCCCATGTGTTTTTTCAACCAAAACCCAACCAGAAGGTCCTTCTTCTGATATTCTGTACATGGCTTTATTTTGGAACATTTTACCAGACCCGAGACACATTTGAATTATGCTTGGGTAGAAAAGTATCTCTGAAATTGATCCAGGGGAGAAGATTAAAGTGCTATTCTCCTGACACAACACACATGAGCTCTGTTTGATGCATTCTACTACTTCAAGATACACTGGAAGGTATCTTGGGGTAGAAAACTAACCCTAGAACTGTCTTTGTCAGTTTTTTAGTTTTCCTGGATGAAAATGAAGATCGCATGACCTGGCACATGTCCTTTAGGGATTTATCAGATTTATACGTAAGTTAATATATTAAGTAACTAAAACAGGGTACCAAATCTCAAAAATTAGTTTATAGTTGTGTTGAGAGGGCTGCAAAGAAGCTTGCAGCAGCAAAGGAAGCAGTCAAGCCCATTCCCAAATTCCTCAGTGCAGCCTCTCTCCAGAGCAACACTGCATCTAGCACTCCTCTTAGGCGCCGGGCAGCAAGGGCAAAGCATCCAGAGAAGCTCAGATGCCTTAATAAGCAATGCCTCTGAGAAGAGTCACTGAAGAGCAACACTACAAGGGTGGGAGCATTGGTGAAGGCTCCCTTGCTTGCAGCAGTGCCTCACATCTCTTTTCACAGTGCCAAGCCGAAGAAAAATAATAATTTTAAAGGGCCCACCCAACTATGAAGGCAGCTGCACTACACTGGATGGGCCCCTTTCAGAATGCTTTTCTTCTTCTTCACATGGTGCTGAGTTGTTCCAAGCTGCACAACAAAATAACACTCTATTTAATCCTTTTCTAATGTGGAGCTACACCATGTGAGGGACACTGAGGGAACTGAAGTAGCATCTTCCTGACCTGTATCAGCACTTCTCCTTCTGCTCTTCTTCTGATATGTCTACTAGGGGCATGGTCATTTGGGGAGGGTGTATCCTCAAACCTGGAGTGACCTCTTCCCCCCAAATTAAATAAGTACATTCCACTTAAATAAACAGTAAAAAAAAAAAAACCCAAATACTTTTCTAAGTAAAAAGAAGAAGAGTTTGGATTTGATATCCCACTTTATCACTACCCTAAGGAGTCTCAAAGCAGCTAACATTCTCCTTTCCCTTTCTCCCCCACAACAAACACTCTGTGAGGTGAGTGGGGCTGAGAGACTTCAATATGGAGGCCAAATGGCCGAAATATTGGGAAATTCTGGATCAAGATGGAGACAGAATAAAATTGCAGAGCTTTGAAAAACTGAAAAATAAAGTGCGAGATTGGCTCCATTATTATCAAATAATGGAGGCATACAATTTGGACAAAGAAGTTGGTTTCCAGGTGGATAAATCAAAATTGGAAACAGGGTTGTTAGACTCCAAAATTAAGAATTTGTCAAAAATGTATAACTTGCTGTTGAAATGGAATACTCAGGATGAAACGGTGAAATCAGCAATGATTAAATGGGCACAAGATGTTGGACATAACATAATGATGGCTGACTGGGAACAGTTATGGACCACAGGTATGAAATTTACGGCATGTAATGCTCTAACTTAATGAAAATGATTTATAGGTGGTACATGACACCAGTCAAGCTTGCAAAAATCTACCATTTGCCCGATAATAAATGTTGGAAATGTAACGAGACTGAAGGCACATTCTTTCACCTTTGGTGGGCATGCCCAAGGATTAAGACATTCTGGGAGATGATTTATAATGAAATGAAAAAGGTATTTAAATATACCTTCCTGAAGAAACCAGAGGCCTTTCTCCTGGGCATGGTCGGCCAATTGGTGTCAAAGAAGGATAGAACTTTCTTTATGTATGCAACAACAGCAGCAAGGATACTCATCGCAAAATATTGGAAGACACAAGATTTACCCACCCGGGAAGAATGGCAGATGAAGTTGATGGACTATATGGAATTGGCGGAAATGACTGGCATAATCCGAGACCAGGGAGAAGAGTCGGTGGAAGAAGATTGGAAAAAATTTAAAGATTATTTACAGAAATACTGTAAAATTAATGAATGTTAGAAAAATGTTGGAATGAACTTACATGGCTTTAGTAGAAATGTTATAAGGAATTAAGTATAAATAGATTAATAGAGTATTAAAGGAAAAAATAAGGTTAGAATGAGTTAAGATAATTATAGGATAGAAAACAGAAGAAGATGGAAAGGAATTGCTGAAATAATTAACAGAAGTGGAATACAAACAGGGAGGTGTGAGGAGGTCGTGGAAATAAGTGAATGAAAGATGGGATAATGAAATTGTTTGATTTATTTTATTGTTTTTGTTTTGTTTTGTTAGTTTAATGTATTGTATTGTATTGTATTGTATTGGGGGGTTGGGTTTTTTTAGTGTTTAAATTTTTTGGAAAAGTAATAAATATTATTTTTTTAAAAAAAGAGAGAGAGAGAGACTTCAGAGAAGTGTAACTAGCCTAAGGTCACCCAGCAGCTGCACGTGAAGGAGTGGGGACGCGAAACTGGTTCACCAGATTATGAGTCTACCACTCTTAACCACTACACCACACTGGCTCTCAGTTGGAACAAGAGCAATAATAAGCCACTTAATTTGCTTGATATTCAAAAATGACAGGGCTAATTACAATTAAGAGAAGACTACTGCTACTGATTTCCTGTGTCCTGGATGAGGTTTCACTTGCCGCTGCGTTAGGAGCCTTGCTAAACATTTATCACCTGAAGTGCCATGTATATACAAAGCATATAGATTTCCATCGTCAAAGAAATAGCAGTATGCAAAAATCTCATTTGCTATCAGCATTTGCAATATCCCTCATATTTTGCAAAATGGAATAACTGGACATTACTAGTTTGATCTTTCACAGCCTTGTTCTTTACAATAAAGTATTGTATAATAAAGGAGAAATCACCCACAAAACACTATATCCTTGCAGAGCTGACACCACATTTTTTAGATTATCCTACCCAAACTTACAGAGCCTTGGCTATTTTTAGTACTTATTTAAAATGGGAGCTTCCAGTAAGGGATGCAGATATGAACTGTGAAAGTATCAGCAGAAAAGTAAGATGTGAAACTTCCACTCCCTTGCTGACCAAAACATTTTCATCACTTCACGGGACCTTGATTTCCTTTTGCTGGTGTTACCCAGTTTGCAATGCTTTTGCTATATAATTTGAAACCAGTCTAATCTGCTTAGGTCTACAGAATGCCTAGCACAACATGTGCTTTCTTTTTAAACATCAAAATGTGACAGAGAGAAACAATATGCAACAACAATATGAGGCCAATGCTTACTGGAGAAAACACTGAAAATAAATATTTACTTAGCATGGAAAACCGTTCTTGACAAATGTTTTCATGGGCTAATAACATCTGTGGACTTATTTGCAAACATGACTTTCTGGCACAAGAAACTACATTAAATAACACCTGAAAACTACTTCAGCACTGAGGAATCATAGAATTGTAGAGTTGGAAGGAACCATGAGGGCCATCTAGTCCAATCCCTTGCAAGGCAGGAATCTTTTGCCCAACATGAAGCTCAAACCCATGATCTTGAGATGAAGAGTCTCATGGTCTACCAATTGAGATACTCATAGGATAGAGTCAGGCTATGGTCTCCCCTACTTCTGCTTTGTGCATCATGGTTCTACTAGGGCACTTTACTAGAAAAGTAGATTTTAACATGAAATGGCAGTACTGTGACCCCTCTCTAGAAAACTAAGTAAAGGTTTAAAAACCTAACCCAAATTTCTAGCAAAGTTCCAAAGAAGAAAATAATTCAAAGTGAATACACTGCATAAAAATCCTTATTATCCAAAGTAAATGTAAATTCATGTTTTAGCCACAAAATGTAAAAAATGCCATGTGATAAAAATTTTATAGTAGATGGCTGCAGTTCTTAGAAAACAGAACAAAGGTGCAACTTTCAAAACTGCACTGATTTTATTTACCAATTTCAAGCTGTATTGCTTGGTTTCTTGCAATTTCTAAACACCAGTTACAAGGCCACTAGTTATTATATATATTGAATTTGATAGGTGGGATACATTGGGGATAGGGAAACTTTCCGGCTCCATGGGCCAGATCCTTATCATAATCTGTCTCACGGGCCAAATTTGACAGGGGGTGGGTCACAAATGAATTCAGAGGATTTGGTGCTTTGAAGTCCCAAAGTCAGGACTTCAAGGCAGGTAGCAGGCAGCAAGGTGCTACTAATGGGAACTCCCCCCACTTCCTTTCAAAGGAAGAAACCTTCCCATTGGTAGTGCCTTACTTTCTGTTACATGCTCTTCCAAACTGGCTGGGTTCATGTACGTGAGAGAGAACTCCCTGTAGAAGGCTTTTTTGTACACGTGCACCTACAGCAGGATCCTTGTCACATCAGCTGGTGCCCAGGGGGACATGGTATGATCCTGCTGAGTGCTGGGTTTGGGTGTGCCAGAGACCTCTGCGCAGTAAGCTCAGGCACGTGCCCAGAACAAGCTGGCTCCCCCTTCCATTGCATTGGCCAATTGGGGCGCCTGTGTCCTGCTTAGTGCTGGAGGCTCCCTTAATGTGCTTTGTAAAAGCCTTGCTTGAAGCAGCTTGTACTTGTCCTTTAAGTGAAGAGGCAGAGGCAGTGGAGGAGTACAGGAGAGTTGTCTCCCCAACCCTGGTGCCACTAGCTTGAGGCTGAAAGGAGAATAGTGAGCTGCTTCAAAGGGCTTTCATCCCCACTCCATCTACCAGGTTTCCATTATGCCCACTGTATCTGTGCAGTCCTCTAAGACCAAAAATCCATCTTGACTCAGAAGCTTCTAGCATTAGCATATAGATAACTTGTACATGTTGTATCTCTCTAAATGTCTTTGGCACACATTTTACCCTATGGTGCTATGACCTCTCTGAATTACTATTATGTGTCCCTGAACTCTCAATGCCAAATTCTATCCTCCTCATTTGAGCAATAATATACATTTCCCCTGCATCCCTGGGGGATAATTTGTTCCGAACCAGATGCTCCTCAAAATGGGGCCGGACACCATCTCATAATAACCCTCTATTATATTCCACCCTATACAATGCAGGCATACTTTCAACCTATACAGTTTACCAGGTCTTTTGCCTCTTTCCCCATACATTTAATTTTAGAATAACTCCTGCCATATTTTGAATGTATGTACGCACTTCCCCAAGTTCATTACGCTGCCCTCACATTAAACAGGTAGGCTTTATCAATTTAGTTGCCTTATCTAAAAACGTATGTCTACTACTTGAAATCTGTTTGGAGGTTTGTTTTGGCATTGAACAGTATAAATAATAGTGCTGATTAATGATAATGAATTAATTATAAAGAGCATTTTGTTTGAGGGCTGTTGATGCCTCTTTCCTGGAGTGCCTATTAGATTGCAAAGGGAATCGCTGCTGCTGCCCAACTCATTTCAGACCATATTCCACCCCCATCATTCTGCCCGGACACTGAGGTCCAACGCTGAGGGCCTTCTGGCGGTTCCCTCGCTGCGAGAAGCCAAGTTACAGGGAACCAGGCAGAGGGCCTTCTCGGTAGTGGCACCCGCCCTGTGGAACGCCCTCCCACCAGATGTCAAAGAGAAGAACAACTACCAGACTTTTAGAAGACATCTGAAGGCAGCCCTGCTGAGGGAAGCTTTTAATGTTTAACAGACCATTGTATTTTAATATTTTGTTGGAAGCCGCCCAGAGTGGCTGGGGAAACCCAGCCAGATGGGCGGGGTATAAGTAATAAATTATTATTATTATTATAATTATTATTATTATTATTATTATTATCATCATCATCATCATCATTCAATCTCCTTTAGGAAAAGTTAACCTGGTACCTTCCAGGTGTTGTTGGGCTGCAACTGCCATAATCCCTATTTGCCATGCTGGCTGCGACTGATATGGGTTGGAGTCCAGCAGCATCTCCTAGGTATGTTATAAAGAACATCACAGAGAACCCTAGGAGCCATTTCTGAGAGTCAGAGGAAAACCCTCTGGCTTCTGCTTAGCTTAATCTAAAGGGGATTTCTTTTAGTATTTTAACTTCTGTATGTTTTAAAGTATGGTTATAAACTTTTCTTTTCACTGGTCTGGATAATTCCAGCACTCATCTAAGAGTTCAAAAGCCACCAAACAGGGTATAACCAGACAGAATGGCAATGTTACAGATATAACCTTCCTCGGAGATGAAGCAACAAAACATGAAAACACATAGCTGCCGAAGTGCTACTTATGAAGATATTTTAGTAAGAAGGGTCCCTAAACATTTATGAACGCAATTCACTTCCCGTAACGCAAAGCACAAAGCAAATCACAAGTTTACCTATTGACTTTGGAAAACTGAACTACATTCGCCCAACTTTGTGCTCCACATGAAGAACTCTGTTACAATGCAACTGTGTACGACACAACCAGATAAACTTTTGCCATGTGCTTGAAAAGTAAACTTTATTTATTATTTGTAATTATGAATGGCCTAATAAAAATTACCAGACAAAGCATGTTCAATAAAATACTCTGTAAAAGCCAAACCAGAATGAAACAAAGCAATTTTGAGAGTTCCATCCCCTCCTTAATATAAAGACACTCATCTACCATAAGAAATACAGTATTTTGTTTATCTTTCAATTGCTGCAGTCAAAATGAATCAGTTGCTCAGAAAAAAATCAGTGTAATTTTTTTTTTAATGCTGCTTGTTTCAAAAACTGTACAGCACATTAGATAATATAAATTAATATTATTACTACCACCTATGGATAAAATCATCCTTTGATATGAGATTCTAAACTTCACTTCATTCTATCTTTGATGCAAGTAGTGCCACTGAAGAATGCTTAGCAGGTGCTACTTTAAATACTGCTGTACAATATGGGCATTTCTTGTGAAATTTTTGTCTTCATCTGCCATTTCATGCAAAACCCTGTTTTTAAAACAAAACCCAGAAAAATAATGATATGCAGAAATTCGCATATATCTGACAGAATGGAATGAGCACCAGCGATAATTTAGCATTATTCAAATGCTCAAAAAAGTTGATAGAATCTGTTATTTCTTAATGCTTTTAGACTAACAGAAAGACATACCCCACAGGATCTCTACAGTTAAATGTGTACCAGTCTGCAGATTTCAACTTCCTTCCCATGTCAATGAAAATTTGACAGAATTACTAGCTGCATTAAGTAGTGAGAATGATAAACATGGTCTGTATTGGATTATTTAAAGCCCAATTAATGATCTGTATTAGATTATTTAGAGCCCAATTAATCATGTCATCTCCTTGAAAAAACTGAGCTAAACTCACAAAATTTAAATTGATACACATTCAACACAGAAAAATACTTGTCAATTCAACAAATAGGATTCTAAACCTTTTAAAAAAGCAAACTGATTCCACTCAAGAGTTTAATTACACCAGACCAAATAGTATGCTATTCTCCTATGCGAGTCCTCTGACCCCAGCCAACATTTTCCAGTACATCATAAGGGCGCAGAAAAACTTGGCGCTGCTCACACAGGAAAAATTCAGTCAAAAAATAGTTCATTCTTTATAGGAAATTGCTTTCTTGTGTAAAGGGGCTTTGCTTTCTCTCAGGTGTGATTTAGATAAAACTTGGCAAATGAGTTGGACGCGAGTAGCGCTGTGGTCTAAACCACTGAGCCTCTTGGGCTTGCCGAACAGAAGGTCGGTGGTTCGAAACCCCGCAACGGGGTGAAATCCCATTGCTCGGTTCCAGCTCCTGCCAACCTAGCAGTTCGAAAGCATGCCAAATAGTGAAAGTAGATAAATAGGTACCACTCTGGCGGGAAGGTAAACAGGGTTTCCGTGCACTGCTCTGGTTTCGGTGTTCCGTTGCACCAGAAGTGGCTTAGTCATGCTGCCCGCATGACCCGGAAAAACTGTCTGCGGACAAACGCCGGCTCCCTCGGCCTGTAAAGCAAGATGAGCGCCGCAACCCCAGAGTCGTCTGCGACTGGACGTAACTGTCAGGGGTCCTTTACCTTTGAGCAAATGAGTTATTTGGGAAAACTCAGCCAGATGGGCGGGGTATAAATAATAAATTATTATTATTATTATTATTATTATTATTATTATTATTTGCAGCTTCTCACTCACTGGTATATAAAATCAAGTGAACCAGGTGAGGGTGAGGAAAGAGTTTCATAGATAGGAAACGGGGAAGAGTGGAGGGATGGAAGCCTCATGCCTCTCAAACTGAATCTTTGACCCTAGTTTTTCAACTTTTCCTTCTTTGAAGGAAAATACTCCCTCTTCCTACACCTCTGTTATGCACAAAATAAAATCAATTTTGTATACTTCAGGAGCAGATACATATATATTTGCAGCTTTCCATAAAAAAAGGAAATAGATACATGTCACAAACTCAGAGTAGTAGTAGTAGTTGTTATTTAATTTATTAAATTTGTAGACCGCCTTTCATCAGAAGTTTACAGAGCGGTTATTATGAAGCATGCACTTGGGTCTTGCTTACTGTGGTCTCAAAACTGTTAGGATATTTTGAACAATAGAGAAAAAGCTAATATTTGTCATATATGCCAATTAAACACATACTATTTTGTATATTTCACAAAAGAGAAAACACAAAGCCTGCTTAGTAATAGTGGACATAGCTCCAGCAAACACTGATTTAAGCATGAGTAAAGAACTGTACATTCTGCAGCTCTAGCCCAATCTTGAAAACCGAAATTCTACATTCACTTCTCATCTTGGGACACAAAATAGATTAGCCAAGTGTTTCCCAACCTTTTCCCAACCATGGCCCCCTTCCAACCTTGTTTCCTTCCTGTGCCCCTCCCCAATGGATATAGCCAAGGGAGGGCAGGGGGGCAGCTGCCATCCCCCAAACAAGTAAAAATCAATACAAATCAATACAAATCTGAGGTTCTGCCCCCCCCCCCACAAAAGCCTATCCCCACTAACAAAAATCCTGGCTACCTCCATGCCCCCGTCCTACCAGTAAAAAGGTAGTCATTTAAATGTTTTGCTTGCAAATAGAACATGTTTTATTTATATTTTTTGTAATTTATTCAAAATTACCCTACTGGTCAAAATGGGAGCCTCAGCGATCATCCTCTCCCACCAGAAACAAACCAGGATTGCTCCAAGAAAATGCATGTGGCAAAAAGTAGCGCTAGGCCCTGGTGAGCCACCCCCCCTTACCCGCTTGTGATTGGCCAAGCATCTTGTATTACAAATACCCTGTACAAAAAGTACATTTCCCCCACAGCTGTGTTATTCAAAAAAGGAAGATGACCAAAAGTTTCAAAAATGCACAAATCCTGACATATGCTGCTAGCATTATACCTACAGTCTAGTCTGCATAACAATTTAGAAAAACCTTATGAGGAAGACGGAATCAGAATTCAAAATGACCTTAACAAAATGAATTTCAATAGGGACAAATGTAAGGTTATGCACTTAGGTAGGAAGAACCAGATGCACAAATATAGGATGGGGGACATCTGGCTTACTAGCAGTACATGTGAAAAGGATCTAGGGGTCTTGGTAGTTGTGTTTGTCTCACTTTTTTCCTTAAAGTTATTGGGAGTGCTGTTAATTGTGTACCTAGCCGCCCTTAGCTGTATACCTCTTTCCCCCAAGCTTCTTCCATCTACTGCCTATTCTGCACATTTTTTAAGCCTCATTTTCTTTGGGCTCTCCGATCCTCGGAAACCCTATTCTCTCTTTCCAGACCCCACCTTCTGTGTTTCAATTGAACTTTTCCTTCTTTTCCAGATGTTGAACTGCTTTATTAACTCATCAAATGAACATTTCATGCCATTACACCAGCTCAGCCAACCCGTCACAGACGTCACTGCTACAAGCAAATACAGATGTGTTCAATAGCACCTCGCATTTCTGCTATCAGCTAAAAATTAGTGAAAAATAAGTAATTCCATCTGTAGGCTAATTCTAGCTCTGCAGCTATAGCTCTCACGCAGAATGAAAGCTACAGGTAGAGCTGACTCAAACAGAGACCGTGTAGATGCCACAATCAATGAAATAATTAGCTCTATCACCACAATTAGGACAATAATTTCTATGATGAGAATTCGGAGCTTGAAAATACATCAAGTTAAAAAGAAGTAGTTTTAACTGGATTGTCGCATATTTTTCTTTTGAACAGTCATCTTCTGAAGGCATGTAACAGAAATTCTAGCCATTTCTATAAGAAAACTAAGTCCATTTATTAACTGGATTACTTTGCTTTAGGTTCCTCAAGTGTTCCAAGGGTGCTTCAAGGGGCTTCGATAGATCAGGAAAGAGAGGCTTAGAAACAGGAGGGAGACATTGCAGGGGGTAGGAGTAGCATGTTGCCTTATTTATCCCCTCTGTAAATGGGCTCCCACGGCTGAGGGTTAAGTGGTGAATGGCTGTTTCCAAGCTGTCTGGCTTCTCTCCATGATTTCACAGCTGCTCCAATACAGACTGCTGCTGGAGAATTTCACATGTGCGCCGCAGGCTCTGACAGCAGCCTGCCAAGCTTTTCTTCTCTGCTCCCACAGCATTCATCACAGTCATTACAGCACATGCAGCCCTGCCCAAACTGCCACCAATGAACACT